CACCGGTTGACGGAACGCGAGCGAAGGAGCCCTCGTCCTTCTCACTCCTCTCCGACCTGTTAGTTAGGAGGGATTTGATTACGAAATGACAAGGTACAAAAAATACTATGAAGTAGAGAACAAAGCGAAACCACAACGAACCAACTCACCAGTAGGCGGCTTGCGTCCAAACTTCTCATGGAAAGACGCCTACTCACGAATCCCCACTATGTGGGGGAGAATTATGCTCACCCACTCGTGGATATCGGCAACTAGCGGGGGAGGTAGTCTCTCGGCTACAAAAACAAAAGCAAATGCTCAGCGAAGTCGTTAAAGGGAGACGACCGATGATCATCTTAAGAAAAATTGCACAAAGTAAACGGAAAGGAGAACTTACGAGCGAAATTCCACATCTCGGGGAACCCCGCTGCGTTCAATACGACATGCTCTGTTCAGGCATAGAAGTAGTTTTCCGAGAAGCGATGGTTGGTCTTGTCATCCATCTTCACCACCAAACTCTTGGTTCCTCGATGACGCATATGAATCATCGTACCCCGAAGAAAATGGGGGGCGAAGAGGTGGAGCATGTGCCCTAGAGAAATTCCTCGGCCGGCCAGCTCCGTGTACTTGATGAGCATGAGGAAAAGCTTATACGCATACGGAGAGAATTGAGCCGTGCACACCTCATACAAATGGCAGAAATCAACCACCAAGGAAGGGGAAGCATGTACCCGATGACAAAGGGATACACGTAAAACGCACAGTAGCCCGGGCGATGTAAATGCACTAGATCCTTATCCGCCGATACCATTTTGATATGAACGGGGATCCCCCATTTGGCTTTGAATGCCCTGATAGCCGCAGCATCCATCATGGAAGAAACGGGCTTCGATTCATCTCCGGCAGGGCTGTTAAAATAGGTCCTTGCCTTCCCCGGGTGAGGAACCACCTCATCCACCGTCGAAAACCTTCCACCACTTCCACTCCCTCTTCGAGTAGGGATGCGTCATTCTCAAGCACCGGAGCACCTACATCTTTATCAGAATGGGAAGAAGTACTAGACATTTATTTTCTTTGATTGAAAGAAGCGCAGATGATAAATGAAAAAGACAATGGTCACCGCAAATCCTAGCAGAAGCAGAGATATGAGAGATTAAGGAAAAAGGAGAAGACTTGTGAAATTCTCTCTTAAGCAATTGAAAAATGTAATGTTCAAATGAGGAGCTCCCCCCTTATTTATAGGGATATAAATATCCTAAGCGGGAAAACCAAGAGCCGCCAGTTAGAAAACGGAAAGGGCACGGGAAACGACATAATACCTAGAAAAAGTGCGTCATAATGACGAATGGGGAATATTGATGACACCTTGAACTGACGTGACGGTCCAATCTTGAACTGACGAAATGGTCCGACACGATCCTCGAAGTGTCATGTCGCTACCTCGCCATGAGGTTTTGCCCCTCACATAAAGCATTCATATTTCTCCCGGTTTTTGAATCAACAGGGTCCGCCAATTGAGCTCGCCAATAGGCGACCCCAACGGGCGGAGTGAATAATTGCATGGGTCAAAATCTGACCACACATGGATTAGCGCTAACAGGAATGGTAAGAGGTCGACTAAGCCGTGGTCGTACCCACAGAGTGTAATAAAAACGAAGACCTCGGCCACCGCCGAGATCGATCCATCAAAAAACCGATATGGTAAAGTAAATATCGTGATATTTGAGGGAGGTGACGTGAAGGACAGTTAAGGGATGAAGGCATTCTGGTTAAGGACCGATGGACAAAAGGGAATACTGATAATATATATAGGAGGTAAGAAGACAAGAAAATGGGGCTTCCTTTCCAAGAGAAAGGAGAAGAACAGAAGTCCGAGAAAAGGCTTAGATAGAAAATACAAATCTCTGTAATCGTGATTATTAAATCAAGGAAGCTAGATCCCGTTACTGCCAATGGAATTCCATCATTTTCATTTTTATCACCACATTACGGGATGATATGTCTAGAATGTGAGCTTATTGTTTATACTTGATGTCTTTTAATGATCTCAAATCGGGCTATAAGTTTGATTATATCTCATTCTCTTATTCAATGCGTTTAGATCTAGAGTAATTATCCTTGGATAAGATTTATCCTCTATTTTACCAGTAATTAGTGTAACAAAGAGTTTAACACTTTACTTCACCGTCGAGAAAGGAAAGAAGACTTCCATCTCCAAGTTTAACTCAGACGTAGCTCCCTTTTTTTTTTTGTGGGGTGTGAAGCAGTGTCAAACCAAAATACCCAACAAGCATTAGCTCCCTCTGAAAAGGAGGTGATCCAGCCGCACCTTCATTCAAACATATAAGACTATGTTTTACTCCCAATCTTAAGAGGCAAGTTCAAGCTTTTATTTATCTACCTCCCTTTTCAAACTTTTAAAAGGAATAATTCACCCAAAAAGACCAGAAGTCTATGAAGTTACATTACGGTTTTAAGGACGAGTCTATTAAATTTTTCATGTTCGTGAATCAAATCGAATTATCACAAAATTTAAGGAAAATGGTCCAAATTTGCTCATCTTATTCGAAATTATCAATTTTTTAATTAGTTACATTTGCTGTCCATTCTTATCTTTGTCATAAGTAAATTATTTCGCATTTGCTCTTACCAGTTTTGGAGCTCCAATTTGAAATGAATGGACTCCACATGTCCAAATATTTTTATAGAAAAGATCCTAATTTATCCTTTAATTTTTAATTATAATTTAATATTACTCTTATGTTAGAACTCCATTAATAGCCAAGGGAAAATATGAGATTTTTTCCTAAAGAAGAATGGTAATATTAGACTAAAATTTTAACAAGGAGCGAAGGTGCTCGGTTTCCCATAGTATACATGGAAAATTTGGCCTTTTCCCATAGTTTAATAAAGGGATATGATCACTAACAGAGGCGGAGCCAGGATTTCAAGCTTATGGGTTCGGGATTGTAATGGTTTTAAGTTACCGGGTTCTAAATTAATAATTTATACATATTCAACGCATTTTTAAGATAAATACAGGGTTTGAACCAAAAATACTGGGTTCGGCCGAACTCGCAGGCGGCACTCTAGCTCCGCCTTGATCACTAAGAGCCCGCATTGTACAAAAGTTGATAAAATTTAAGTGCTGAATTAATTTTATAAGTAAATAATTACGTATTTGAATAGAAGTGATTGAAACTAATACTAAACAGTTGATTTATTTAGTAAAGACGCGTTGATAAGTCCTTTTTTATTAAAATAACCAAAATAACCTCAGAAGTTTTACAAATGTTGTAAATTTAAAAGTATTTTGTAAAGAAAAGGAGCATCGATGAATATAGAACGAAGAAACAATAAGTTTCATTTTGGAAAAAGTATTTTATGAATTAGAAAATATTATTTAGGATAATATTAAAAGTTTTGGCCAAACTAAAAGTGCTTATAAGCTAAAAAATCATAAGTTTGGGTGATTAACTTGTGGCTTTTGGTTAATTTTGATATGTAGGCATTGCATTTGAGTGTTTACAAATGTATAAATAAACTAAAAGATGATTAAGCCAATTTGACCCGCTTATAAACTTTGTCAAACATACTCTAATATTTTTTTGTTTGCTATACATGGCATCACAGACGCAATATTTAGATCATCTCTCCCTGTCTTCCCAACAATCTCAGCAGGTAGAATGAAGTCCACCATTTGCCTCTCTAATCTTGAATTGGCTATCTATATTGTGTCTTCTACTTCAACTATTTTTTAGTTTTCTTATTCATTTGTTCCTTAAATAGCGAAGCAGGTAATATTACATTACGTTGTTTACATAAATAATCGATTGGATTTACTGTTTATATTAGCTAGTATATATAAATTATACATATATTATATATTAGTCAATTATTTCTAATTTAGACGATTGAATGCAGCCAATTAATTTTGTTTTTTGTTTTCTCTTACCAGTTACCACCATGAAGCACATGTTGGACTTTAGTACTAATAAAGAGGAAAACAGTTTACAGTTGGACCTTTTCCTCGTAAACAGAAATTTAGTCGGTGGATTATAAAATACCGGGTTTGATAGAGGCATGTGCTCCAATGACAAAGCTACTCTTGTATGATAATTCAAATTCTATGCGGCAAATAGGAAGCAAAAAATTACATAGTTATGATACTTTTGAGGTGGTTTTTAACTTTTAATTTCTGTTTGTTTTCTGGACAGAATTTAAAGGTCCTTAAAAGTTAAAAGTGTTGCACATAAAACAAGCGAGAAACAACACTTGTTAAACTTGAAGTTCTGTTCATGGAGCAAGTAAGCATAAAAATTCAAGACCACCCACTTTGAGAGTTATTTATGTACTTCATCCCGTCGGAAGTACCCTACAAAACTTTAAAGATTTAACTTAAATACCTATATATTCAATCACTTAAACTAAAAATAATATATAAACTGAAACGGAAATTTCATACATGGGGGAATCGCATTCTTTTGAGTGAAAAAACTAAGTGCAATCCTTAGAAACATATTTATTTTTTAAAAAGTAACTCCTTCCGTTGGGGTTTCGCTTCACCCAAACCTGTCTATTACCACCATCAGAAAGTTTTAACAGTGAGAGGACTTTAACCTTGCCTTTGTAGCCTATTTTAGAAGTAGACTTTGCACCATATTTTGAGACATAATATAAGCTATCAAAGTGCAATTCTAGCCTCAAAATGAAACGAAGAAATATTCCTAAAGAGGGAACCACATGTATATCCTGACTAAGACTTCTTCTTTAGACATGATTGATGAATAATATAGGTATTTAAAAAGATTTAAGCGAATATTATTTTCAAAATTATCTTTCTGTTTAGAGAAGTTTTGATTCTTCTTCTACAGATGTACTAGCAAATATAAAACACAAATGATAAGAGTTTTCCACTTAATATTATCCTTCATTTAATTCCCACCTACCCGGTCCCGAAAATGTATTGGAGTGGTAGGTGAGACGTTGCTCCATATATATTTTATTGGGTGCTTACATATTATATAAGGCAAAGGTGAAACCCTAAGAATCTTCAACTCAAAGCTAGCTATGGCATCAAGTACTGTTATTCCACCAGCTGTGTGCAATAGCACAACACTCAAAACTCCCTTTACTTCAACCACCAAGTCTTCTTCTTTAGCTTCCACTCCAAAACCCTCTCAACTTTTCCTCCGTGGAAAACGTAACCATAGCTTCAAAGTGTCATGCAAGGTCTCCAATGGTGATGAAAACCAAAGTGTTGATAGGAGAAATGTGCTTCTAGGTTTAGGAGGTTTATATGGTGCTGCTAATGTTGTACCATTGGCTTCAGCCACTCCCATTCCAGCCCCTACTACTTCATGTAGCAAGAATGGTGCCACAATTAAACCCGGTGTACCGGTACCTTATTCTTGTTGTCCCCCTCCGCTAAAAATTGATCCTAAGGATATTCCTTATTACAAGTTTCCAACAGGGTCGAAGCTCCGTATTCGACCAGCTTCTCATGCCGTGGACGAAGAGTACATGGCTAAGTACAACTTAGCCATTACTAAAATGAAGGAGCTCGATGTTACTGATCCAGATGATCCACGTGGGTTCACGGCGCAAGCCAAAATCCACTGTGCTTATTGCAACGGTGCATACACCGTTGCTGGCAAAGAGCTACAAATTCACTTCTCATGGCTTTTTTTCCCATTCCATAGATGGTACTTGTACTTCTATGAGAGAATCCTGGGTTCTTTAATCAATGATCCTACTTTTGGTTTGCCATATTGGAACTGGGATCATCCAAAGGGCATGCGTTTGCCACACATGTTTGATCAACCAAATGTGTACCCTGATCTTTACGATCCAAGACGTAACCAAGAGCACCGTGGTTCGGTAATCATGGACCTTGGTCATTTTGGTCAAGACGTGAAAGGAACTGACTTACAAATGATGAGTAATAACCTTACTCTAATGTATCGTCAAATGATTACCAATTCACCATGTCCACAACTCTTTTTTGGTAAGCCATATTGTACGGAGGTTGGACCCAAACCAGGTCAGGGAGCTATTGAAAACATCCCCCATACTCCTGTCCACATTTGGGTTGGTAGTAAGCCTAATGAGAATAACTGTAAAAATGGTGAGGATATGGGAAATTTCTATTCAGCTGGTAAGGATCCTGCTTTCTATAGTCACCATGCAAATGTAGATCGCATGTGGACAATATGGAAAACATTAGGAGGAAAACGCAAGGACATCAACAAGCCAGATTATTTGAACACTGAGTTCTTCTTCTACGACGAGAAGAAAAACCCTTATCTCGTGAAAGTCCGTGACTGTTTGGACAATAAGAAAATGGGATATGATTTCCAAGCAATGCCAACCCCATGGCGCAATTTTAAGCCATTGAAGAAGAGCAAGAGCAAGGTCAATGCACGTTCAGTTCCTGCAGCTACCCAAACATTCCCTATTGCAAAGATTGACAAACCCATAACATTTTCCATCAAAAGGGAAACTTCAGGTACTTTCAAATGTGTGACTATCTTATTTAAAAATTAAAATGGTTGGAAAGAACACACTTTTAATTAATAAACTTAATTAGATCATGTAGGTGGATAAAAATAAAGTTTTTGTTTTTGGGTGACAGTGAGATTTAAACACATGACAATATTTCAATCTCTCATCCATGGCCAGAGAGAGCATATTTTTAATTTGTTAGAGTACACTTTCAATTATTTAATTATATTACGTCTTAACAGGCAGGACTCAGCAGGAGAAAGACGCAAAAGAGGAGATGTTAACTTTCTTGGAACTCAACATCGATCAGCGAAAGCACATAAGGTTTGATGTGTTCATTAACGCAGATGCAAACTCCAACTGGCATGAGCTAGACAGGGCAGAGTTTGCAGGAAGTTACACTGCCTTGCCTCATGTTCATTCAGATCCCAGTAAACCACATGTCGCCCCTGTTGCAAAATTCCAGCTGGCCATTACCGAGTTGCTCGAGGACATTGGCCTTGAAGATGAAGATGATATAGTGGTGACTTTGGTCCCGAAAACTGGGGGCGAATTTGTCGCCATTAAATCTGCTGCGATTACACTTGAAGCTTGCTGATGATTGTCTGCTCAAGTTTTCTTGTTGTGTCTTGGTCACCTGCATTTCATTTTAATTCCGTGTTATTTGTGTTGAAATCAGCTTGACGTTAATGTCATTACAATTGTTATTCAGGAATAAATCAGTACTGTATTTGGTGTTAGAATCACTTTGTCTATCTTCTTCGAACTTTCTCTTTTTAAGACACTTTTATTTGGAATGTAAAATAGGAAGAGAAAAAGATAAACAATATATATGCCATAGTGCAAAAAGAAATTTTAATTAATTAGAGGTTCCCACTTGCACTGATCTTGGAAAAAAAGGTTAAAAATATTGCGATGACCCGAGACTCTTACTTAACACTTTATGCATAAGATTTAACATGTAGATCTAGAAGATATCATCAATAACCTTGAAATAGCAGCTACTGATGGAATATATATATACTGAATAATTACTCCACTTGTATCAAAATAATTATTTAAAAGAAAAGTGCAATTTCTGACAGAAAACTATTATTAATAAAAGCAAGTAGACTTATAAGTATATAGTAAGTCAGTAACATGTCTCCTGGGAAAAAAAATTTACTCCACTAGTACCATGTTTCTACTTCAATTTGAGACGCTTCGGATTACGAAAAGCCAACGAAAGAAAAAGCAAAAGATGATGAGGGAATCGAGAAGATGACAGTTAATTTAAGAATATTTAAAGTATTAATTAGATCCATATGGGTGGATGTTAACTTTCTTAATTTATACTATGCATATTGCCAAGCTGAGCAATTCATATCTCAGATGTTCAGTTGAAATATGAAAAACCGTACACGATAGATAAAAAACGTATATATAGAAATTGCCAAGAAATGAGAGAATGGATATGGCTTGGCTTTCATTAATGACTTGTACAACTAGTCTGTAAACCCACTCACATAGCAACTAACGGGTAACTCCCGGCTAATCCCAAAACTAACTCACTCAATAATAATTAGTAGTTAGCAACCACCTGACATAGAACCTTCAAACTAAACATAGATAGATCATGCCTAGGTAATTCAGGTAGGGACGGGGGGGGGGGGGAGGTGTATAGGAGGGATTTTCAGGAATAGCAATGGAAACTGGATATTAGGATTCAATATGGGATTTGCCTACGCTATGAATATCCAAATGAAAGCCATGTCCTTTTACAAGGCCTAAAACTAGCCATCCAAAAGAGACTAACCCCTTTAGTCATTGAAACGGACTGCCAGGAACTAATCAACCTGATAAACAATGATAATTGCCTTTACCAGAATATTATTGATGATTGCAGGTTCCTATTATCTGAGGCGGGCACGCCACCCTTGAAGCATGCATTCAGAGAAGCTAATGGAGTAGCGGACACCTTAGCCAAGAATGGATGCAGCTTGGACTCTTTTGCTAACTTAATGCTGTTCTATTATCCGCCTGTATTTGCTACTTCAGTTTTTGATAGAGATGGGATAGGCACTGCGTGGCCTAGACAAATCTCATGTTGTAATGACTACTAAGTTTTATGTTCTAAATAAATGTCTTTATTTACCAAAAAAATAAAAAAATTAGTAGTTAGCTATTTAACGATGGTCTAGTCAACTATGATCAAGTTCTTTGACTTAGGTTATTCTAATTTTGTCACTCCCCTCAAGCTGACAGGTGCAAACACATTTAGCATTCCCAACTTAAAATTAAATTTTCATGTTGTGAGCTTAGTAAAACCTTAGTCAAGATGCCTGCCTCTTTATCCTTAGAGCTAACATGTTGTTGATGGGCTTATGTTCTTTTAATTTATGTTTTGATGATCTAACAAACTTTCTGTATAGAACTAGACAAAGGACCTGAAGCATGCCTGGTACAATCATTCAAGTTAATTAAGTCAAGATAATCTGGGTAGTGTGCCTTTAGATTCACAAGAACCAGATTAGGGACCTGATCCCTTGGTATTCCCCTGACGAAGTATAAGTCAACTATACAGCTGGAAAGCAATTGCAGAAAGTGACTGCCTGCAACAGTGCAACAGTCACTTCCCATTGACATCATCCTTGGGATGTCTTTGGTAGTATAACAACATGGTGTAAGGCACAAGATATTCACTTGAGCATTTAGTGATAGTCTTTGAAGTGCTAGCTACAACCTCTTTCAAGAACAAAGCTGCTGCAACCTCAAGGACCAGATCCAAAGATTAAAGATATCTTAAGTCCTTAGGTTTGTTGAGTCTTTGTTATTTGTTCTTCATTGTAACTCCTATCTTGCTTTATGAGAAGCTTTGTTTTAGGAAAATCAAAATCTTAAACCATATGAGTTTGTGTTGTGACTAGAGTTAGTCATAGGTTGAAGTCTTTGTAACTAGTGAGTGACAAAGTGGCTTGTAATAAGTATATTACAAGTTAGAGTGATTGAAGTCTTTGTAACTAGTGAGTGACAAAGTGGCTTATGATAAGTGTATTACAAGTTAGTGTGATTGAAGTCTTTGTAACTAGTGAGTGACAAAGTGGCTTGTGATTGGTGTATTACAAGTTAGAGTGATTGAAGTGTTTGTAATAGAGTCATTACAAAGTGGCTTGTAATAGTGTAGTTACAAGTTAGTGAAGTTGAAATCCTACCAGTGTAGGTCGTGGTTTTTGTCCCCTTGAGTTGGGATTTTTCCACGTAAAAATCCTGTGTCTCATTTACATACTGGTTTAGTAGTTAGCACTGTGGGAACTGATATAGGACCAGGTCTCTATACAGTTAGTGGACTCATATAAGCTATCAATTGGTATCAGAGCAGGTTCTTTCTAAAAGGTTAACACCTAGAAAGGATCTCAATGGCTGCTCCACCTAACTTTGAGGAAGCACAATCAACCTACAGACCCCCTAGATTCAATGGTCAGTATTACAGCTGGTGGAAGACTCGTATGCATGATTTTATAATGGCAGAAGACTCAGAGATGTGGAACGTCATTTGTGATGGTCCACATATTCCTATGAAGAAGCTTGGAAAATCTGGACCAATGGTGCCGAAAACCAGAAAAGAATACAGCGATATTGACAGAAAAACTGTTGAGAAGAACTTTCGTGCCAAGAAGATCTTGGTATGTGGTATAGGACCTGACGAGTACAACAGAATCTCAGCCTGTCAATCTGCCAAGGAAATATGGGAAGCATTTCAAATGGCACATGAAGGAACTACTCAGGTTAAACACAACTCTGACAAAGCAGCAAAAAGGAACCCGGTTCCTGACAAACATTTCAGCCGAAAAAGTGCAGCTAACAATGTTGTGAAGCAAGATCTTGCTACATGGGGAGACTCCTCCAGTGAATCAGAAGGGGAACGAGATGTAGAAAACAGTTCCATGATGGCAGTGGAAAATGAAGCAAATGAATATGATTCACTGTTTGCATTAATGGCTCAATTCGATGATGCTGAAGATGATGACAATGATGAGGTAAATTTCAGTGATGTTCAGAGAAATCTGAAGTCCTACTCTTCTAAGAAATTGATGTCATTAGCAAATACTCTAATTGATGCATATTATAGTCTTGTAATGATAAGGATGTCCTGACCATAGAGCTAGGAGATGCTGAACAATCTAGAGATGATCTGGTGGTTTGTGTGGTTGATTTAAATAAGACCATAGGCAATCTTAAAAATGAAAAAGAAGTTCTAACTAAAAAATAAAATAGTGTAGAAAATGAGAGAAATGACTTGAAGGAAGCCATAGAAAACCTTAGCAAAGAAAATAATACTCTAGAAGAGAAAATTGCAGCTACTGAGCAAGAAAGATATGACTTTTTGGTGGGAATCACAGACCTAGAGGAAACCATTGAGGGACTCAAATCAGAACATAGGATTGTAAGTATTGGGAAAGGGAAGGAAGTAGCTAGTGAGACACACATCAAGCTTGAGAAGGAATTAAATGATGTGAAAACTAGTCTATGTGGTGAACTCGAGAAAAATAGGCAACTTTAAGCTGAATTGGAGAAAGTAAAAATTGATCTTGAGAAATCTCTGAAGTGGACCTGGTCCTTAGATGCTGTCACTGCCATGTACTTCAACAATAGTGGAAACAGGCAGGGAATCGGGTTCCAAAAGGAGAAAATTCCTTACAACCCTCACATCAAGTATGTCACTGTTCCTGATAACTGGATTTGTATCCACTGTGGGAACAATGACCACTTCAAAGAAAATTGCTAGGCCAGGGTTCAATCTGTTCAGAAAAACAAAGTGTTTACTGAAAAAGTGACTACCAAAGAGGGACCAGGTACCACTCGCAAAAATTGCATATTGCCTGCATGGACTAGAAGGCTCTTATCCACACTTTTACTCATTACAAGGGACCCAAACTAGTTTGGGTTCCTAAATCTAACCCATAATTTATATGTGCATGGAACAGTGAGAGGAAGTGGACTGCAATGGATCATGGACAGTGGATGCTCAAAGCACATGACTGGAAACACCATGGATTTTCTCTCACCGAAAGCCCTGCAGGGAGGGAATGTATCCTTTGGAAATGGAAAAAAGGGGTACATTCTCGGTGTCAGAAAGGTTGGAAAATCTCTTTCACACTCAATTGAGAACGTGTACTATGCGGATGGCCTGAAGTACAGTCTCTTGAGTGTCTCTCAAATCTGTCATAAAGGTAACAAAGTAGAGTTCTTGTCTAAAGTGTGCACAGTTACTATTCTTGTGACTGGCGAAGTGGTCCTAGTAGCCAAAAGATACAAGAATATCTACGTTGCTGACTTTGATTCTCTACAAGCCGGTGATATGAGCTGCTTGAAGGCAGTTGATAATGATGCAGAACTTTGGCATAGAAGATTGGGGCATGCAAGCTTCTCACTTCTGAATAAATTGATGCAGAAGAACCTGGTTCGTGGTCTGCCAAATTCAAATTTCAAGGAGCACAGAGTCTGTGATGCATGTGCTAAGGGAAAACATGTGAAATAATCTTTTAAGCCAAAGAAGGATGTTAGCACATCAAAAGCACTCGAACTCCTTCATATAGATCTGTGTGGTCCTATGAGAATACCAAGCAGAGGTGGAAAGAAGTATATTTTTTTGATTGTGGACGACTATTCAAGATTCACCTGGACACTGTTTCTTAGAACAAAGGATGAGACTTTCGAGGTATTTGTGGCTTTTGTCAAGAAAATCCAAGTGAAGATGGAATTTAAG